TGCCCATCTTCCTCCACTTTATATGGGACGCCGCCACAGCATGGGTTGCCAAGGAGTGCGTCGGTGCGCGCCCAGGATCCGAACCAGCGAACCCCAGGCCGCCGCAGCGGAGCACGCGCACTCAACCGCTTGCGCCACCAGGCCGGCCCCATAGTACACATACTTAAATTCACAAATTTTTACTTCCAAGAGTATCTCTCACATCTTCAAAGTAAGTTTTAATTTTTGATATTGGTTATAAACATAATCCTAATAAGCTGAATAATTAATATGTAGTTTCCTAACTATAACAGGTCAGGAAGAGCAAACTATAAGAGGAAATGACCTTCGAATAGCAGGTACATACTCACAGCAATAAAAAATGACAGCCAACAACAAGGCAAGGGCAAAAAGCTATTTCAGTTTTAGACAGCTGAAGAACTATGTGCGGTACAACTTCACTGCTGGGAAAAAATGAATTATGATCATTACTTCTTTATTGATGGAAAAACAAAGTCACAGAGGTTATCTTGTCCAATTAGTTAGTCATTTCATAAGCAAGAGATATATGATGGGGATTTTTATTATATTATCTAAATAAAAGTAAGGGGATACCTGATGACCTTGAGATCTACTGTGGTTAGATGAGTAAAGAAGGGACAGACGTTAAGGGTCACTTAGGGCATGGATTTTTTTTTTATACTGTTAAGGTTTAATGTGGACACACTGCTACAGAAATTATGACAGACACTGAATTCAAAGTATGATTGTTTCATCACATCTATTTATGGTATTTCTTAAATTCTGTCACATTTAATCTATCCTAAACCTAAACACAAAAATACAATTTGTGGATTTCAGCTTTTATTACTTAAAATAATGGGTACGCAGAGCTGCTCTAAATGGGTATTTATATACAAGTAAACAAAGTCTGCTAAAAATAAAACACAGGTATTGTCAAAAGAATAGAATTTCATTATCATGTACAAATTGTACTGCTGCTAGACAGAACTGACAACTTGTCAAGTCTAGTCTCATTATCCACTGGTTTTCTCAGACCATTATCTACACTTTACACCCAGTCCATCGCCTACCAGTCTAAGCAGATGGAAACAACTAAACTAGTAATCATAGCTGTCCTTTATTAATGAAACCACAAATAACCTAAATGCTTATCTGAACAACTAAATATTTTTGTAAAATAATAATCAAGAAAATCAGCAAATAAGGGGCCGGCCTGGTGGCATAGCAGTTAGGTTTGCACACTCCACTTCGGTGGCCTGGGGTTCGCCGGTTCAGATCCTGGGCACAGACCTCCTCACTGCTCATCAAGCCATGCTGAGGCAGCATCCCACATAGAAAAGCTACAACTCTATAACTATGATACATAACTATGTACTAGGGATTTGGGGAGAAAAAAGAAAAAGAGGAAGACTGGCAATAGATGTTAGCGCAGGGCCAATCTTCCCCAAAAAACAAAAAAAAAAACCAGCAAAAAAATTATTTCAATAACAGTAGAGATTTATCAACTTACTTTGCATCCTTGTCCTTATTCTCGGGGTTGGTTCCACCCATTCCTGAGGGTTTTTTTGATATCCCGAGCCTGAAGCAAATACATAAATCAAGATATCATTTCACATACTTTGAAAATGTATACCATACTCCAGCGTTACAAGGTAAATTTATGAGAAAGGCAAAACAAAGACAGGGAGGAAAACAACAAAAGCAATAGGTTCAGAAATAAAAGACAATGTCAAAGGATCACATCGATGAGGATGAACCGCTTCCCACAGCAAAACAGGCAGCAAATAAATACATAATCACCTAACAGACAAAACCATGTACAAGTCCTTTGCTCTGGTCCATGAGAATGACTGGGTTCAATAAAACTTGAATTTGGTTTCAATGTTATTTATAAAGAAAAAGTTAACCATTTACTCTTGCAAATAAATTACTTTTGGTAAAAATAGTTCTGAACACGTTTCCACATCACAGAGTAATTATTACATATAGTACCAATGTGTGGTGGATTAAAAGGCAAAGAAGGTAAAATGACCTAAGATCCTATTCAAACTTTTTGCTGCAGAATAAGACAGGGTTAGAATTGGTTGACTGATAAAAGAACAGATAATCAACCACTTACTTAGCACTGTAGATTGCTTATCAAGAGCTGTGAAGTCTCGATCTGAAACAGAAAACAGAGATAAGCTCATAGAATACTTGGAAATAAAAACAATGACGATGTTGCATAGACATTTTACTTGCTTACTATGGACACTAAAAACCAAAAGTAAGAATAAAAACACTTTTCATTCATCAGCCCCAAACATATAAAATATATATATATTTCCCCCCTTTTCTAAACTTCAAAATGTTCAGGAATTGCATAATAAGTCAGCTTTAGGATCAATACCATCAAAATAATGGCTAAATGTATTGAATGTCTATCAGGTATAAGTATAATTTTACTTAATTCTCACACTTTATGTGGTAGATATTATTATTCTTATTTTCAAAATAAGGAAACTGAAATTGATAATTTACCCAAAATCACACACCTAAAAGTAGCAGGGCTGAGATACAAACCCAGGCAGTCCATATATAACGGTATATACTAATATATAAGCAAATTTACGGACATTGCAAAGTAGTTATGCAATGAAAGATGCTACTTCAAGTTTTGGAAAGGTATTTAAGGATAACTGTAAAATGATACAATGAGGTAATTAGAAAATGATATTACAGGGGCCGGCCCGGTGGCGCAAGCGGTTAAGTGCATGCGCTCTGCTGTGGTGGCCCGGGGTTCGCCGGTTCGGATCCTGGGTGCACACCGACGCACCGCTTGTCAAGCCATGCTGTGGTGGCGTCCCATATAACGTAGAGGAAGATGGGCATGGATGTTGGCCCAGGGCCAATCTTCCACAGCAAAAAAGAGGAGGATTGGCAGATGTTAGCTCAGGGCCGATCTTCCTCACACACACACACACACACAAAAAATAAAAATTAAAAAAAAATAAAATAAAATAAAAAAAAAGAAAATGATATTATATACAATTATAACAAGGTGAATTTCCAAATCTGCCCTGAAGAAACGAATTACTTTTAACCATTGATACAAGTATCAACGTAAATTTATTTTCAATTTTATTTTTTCTATATACAAATGTAATATATGCTAGCTGTAAAAGAAAGGCATCATTCTACAAATGTGTAACTTAAAATTCATAAACATCTATTAAATGCCTACTGTGTGCAAAACATTACACGTAGGAATTCCACGGTGAATAAGACAGACGGATATATATTCTTAGATTTATTTTCAGTCTATACTAACAAAATACTTGTTAAAAAAGTAGACACGTTTTTTATATTGTCTTTCATCAATTCTAAGAAATACTTTTTAAAAAACACTTCTGAATTAGGGCTGTATCTTATAATCAATGGTATGTCACAGTTCAACCGCATAGTTTTTCTTCCCCCGTGATACATAAAATCAATGGTATCTTAGGTTCAAGGAAATATATCTTGATCACTTAATCAGTAGCATACAAAGAACTTTCATAACGAAAAGTATTTCATTGCATGAGTGTACCATAATTTATATAGGCAGATACATTTAAGAGCTTCCAAAGATCAAAGATTTAGAATAACAAATGGCAAACATATAAGATGATTAATTTTCCACAAATGATTTATTTTTGTGTTTGAGCAGCTTTTGAAATATAGATATATAGTGGAATTCTATGAACACAGTGATTATAAAACCAATTTCCAAAGACTTTTTCTTTAAAAATAGTCTCATATCTTAAAAAAGGTGATGTGGAAGGAAAAATAATGTCCTTGAAGATTTTACATACAAGCATATTTTCGGTTAATTAATAATTAGCTCAAATTCTGGGACCTGATTTGAAAATAGAAAAAGAAAAAATACTATCATTTCTGCTTAACCTACGAAATACACATCCATTGTAGATAATCTGCAAAATACAGGAAAAAAATAAAAGGAAAAATGTCACCAATGATTCTACCATCCTGAACAAATTTGTTGTTAGCATTTTAGTAATTACTTTCTAATCCTTTTTTGTGTGTTATATTTTCTCAACATTTTATTATGAAAATTTTCAAAACTGTAAGCAAGCCTGTAAGACTTACATACCCACCACCTAGCTTACCATTAACTTTTTACTATACCCGGTTTATCACTTATTTAATCATCCTTCCAAACTTTTGCAATAGAGTTGAAATCATACTGCATATAAAATTTTATATCCTTATTAGAATATGTCCATATAAGTAGGCTCAAACTATTACATCAATTAATTAAACTAAAAACCATCAACAAATTTATATGGCAAACAAGGATATTCAAACAAATCACAGAAAGCAGTAGTTTTTTGCTTTTTAAATTCTATTTCAAGGTTTGGTACAGAGATGATGAATTCAAGAAGCAAATTCAAGATGCAGGATGAGTTTTTTTAGCATTCACTATACCTCTTTTTCAACATTTACATTAAACTGCAAAAGAGGATCTTCAAAAACAACAATAGCATTTGACCATGCACACAAGTAGTCTTTTAAGAGCGCAACAAGGTAAACATGGTTTTACTTACTTTGTGATAACTGCCAACGTGATTCTGAACATTGACTTGATGATCTGGTGGTTTGATCTAAAAAATAAAAAAGACATATAGTACAATATAAAGCATATTTAACTTTTTAAATACACATTTTACAAGAGAACAATGAGTAATCAAAAGAGCAAAAGTATTCAGATAAACCCAGGGAATTCAACACTTGGGTGCATAATTTATTTTAAAAAATAGCTTCCAAAGAGTCAGGCTGTATCTAAAAATTTAACTAATTAATTACCCGTCTTTTCCCTAACCACTTTTTAAAGAAAAAAACATATAAGGTATAGAACACAACATGAGATAAGGGAGATAATGAAACCTTTGAGTTGGGGAAAATTTTGAAAGTTTATAATAATGGATCTTCTTGAAATCATTAATACCCATTTTTGCCTTAAATTTTTCTTGCAAGTGGTCAATATATTATCTATTTTAGTCTACTCTTCATAAAAACTTTTTTCATATAAAAGTGGAATTTATAACTAAATCTGTTTAAAAGAGATCAGATGGCTGTTTTGGAAACAGAAGCATTTGACACATTCAAGTGTGGTGCCTAAACATTTTTGTTAGTGTACTCTTATTACTAAAAAAATTTTAAGCATCAATCTCCAAAACATATTTCTTTCTAATATTATATACATGCATTAACTAATGTGTTATGTATATTATAAAACAGACAAAAATAGACATTGTTAAATGATGAAATAAAAAAATATATACATGACATTCTAATATTTTCTTCCTGCATTCCAATCAATCTTCTTGTGACTCTTCAGTGATCTCTGGCCCAGAAGATAATCTAGGAAGATCAGTATTCTTCTTAATATGCCTCACCTCTTTGTTCTTTAGCTAGAGTTTTCTTCTGCATGTAGGTCTGTGTGCTTCAATAAGAATTTATTAGAATTCTAATGGGATCACAGAGCCTGTGGTTTATGTAGTTTCAAAGAGCTATATGCTGGTAGCAATGGCACCAAACTTTTAGCTGTATGAGTGGCTTAATTAATCTCTACTTTTAGAGCTTTATGTATACATATATGAAAACTAATAACAGCACTTAATTTGAGTGTTTTGTATGTATCAGGTATCTTCTAAGTGCTTTACACGTATGAATTAATTTAACCTCACAACAACCCAGATGAGGAAACTGAGGAACACAGAAGTTAAGCAATTGCCTGAGGGCACAAACCTAGTAGTGGAGGAGTGAAACCCAGGGATTCTGGCTCCAGAGCCCATGTTCTTAACCACTATGCTAGAATGTTGCATATCTCCTTTGGGATTTCTGTATCAAGAAAGAATGGGGAAAATTGAGGAAGAGTGGGAAATATATAGGATACCAAATGCCCATAAACCAGCTTATGAGCTTATTTTTAAAGTGGAATGATAAAGTAAAACATAGGAATTAGAGAAATTCTCAAAAGGTAGTGAGGGAAAAATGGAGAATTACTCTTCCACGGGAGTAAAATATAAAATTTTCATAACTTACAAAGTTTACAAATCCATTTAGCATCTTCTTAAGCTTCAAATTGGTAGTTTTTTCTCTTTAGTCAATTCTTTCATTGAATAAACTTAAACATAAATTCACATAAACCACCAGAACTATAATGACTAACTTGGTGTGAATTTGAACAATCCAGAGATAAAAGTAGTTATCTAAGTACATTTAAACTTCCTAAAAGCTAACTAACACTCCTGATGGTGTAGTAAGTACCAATGCCAATGTGATCAGGCTCTCTATGAATTTTTTTTAAAAGCTACAAATAACTCTTCTTTAGAGCACAAAAATTTCTTATATTCCACAAATGTCAAAGCAGGCTAAAAGCGATTTGTTTAGATATTACATGACATTACATTCTTAATCAGATGTACGCATGGAGTCAGTAATTTTAATAAATATTAAAAAGTACACTTTTCAAAAAGTACTTTTAATAAAATATTTTATAATAGTTTTTAAAAAAGCAGATTCACAGAATATCTTCATATTTTAACTAAAAAGACAGCTCCTAAGATAAAAGTCGTATTACATAAAGCAATGTTACCTTCAAAATTAAGAGAATCCCCGGATCTGACCTTAACACTGTCACTGCTGTCTCGATCATCATCTTCAGTTTCTCCTAAAAAGTAAAGAATACACTAGTATAGTCTTTATTCTAATGCTCTTAAGATCTGGATTAAAAAACAAAAACAAGTAATTCAACATTAAAATGAAGCCCTTTTAATGATCAGATATAGAATCAATACTTATTAGGCTGACTATTCTGAATCACAAAGTTCTAAATAAGCTAAACTTGAGTTTATTTATTGTATGTTCTCTGAGGCACATAATTATATCCCAAACAGATATTCAGAGTAATATCTCTAAGATTATATTCTGAGGCTTTAATTAGAGTCAAAAAGTAAACAAATGAGCATTAAATAGTGGAAAATTTTACCTGGGGGGGGCACTATATATACACACTATATGTGTGTAAATTCAGACAAAATTAGTACAAGCATCCATGTGTATTTGTATACGTGTGTGTTTGCAAAACCCATACACAAACATTTCAGTATGCAGGTGACTAATCTCAGATTCTGATGGGCTTAAAAATGGACTAAATTTTACTGTACTAGTCCAACAGAGACTGCTTAAGAGAATTTGGAAAAGCAATTTTATTTTTTTTGCTGAGGAAGATTTGCTCTGAGCTCACATCCGTGCCCATCTTTCTTTATTTTGTGTGTGGGTTGCCACCACAGCATGGCTGCCAATGAATGGTGTAGGTCTACGCCCAGGAACTGAACCCAGGCCACCAAAGCAGAGCATGCTGAATTTAACCACTAGGCCATGGGGCTGGCCCTGGAAAAGTAATTATTTTAATACCATAATCAAAGGCCAGCACATGCCAGAAACTGAAAATATTAGCTTTGCTTAAAAATATTAATTCAAACAGACAAAAGATGCTTAAAATGCACACAAAGCCTATCATCACTCATTCTGTCCTATTTTACATGTCCACCTAACAGTTCAGATAAGCATGAACATATTTTCTGAAGAAAAAGACACTATTTTCTGCTCTCATTCTTAAATACTTATCAAAATTGCTCCTCACCTTAACAAGAAAAGATTTAGAATATATTGCATGATATTTTAAAAGAAAATACCTTCTTCAGAGAAGTTGACCTTCTGTTGGACACTGGTGGCATCTACAAGAGAAAAGTATACATGTTGTATATGACATCAAAAGCTAAAGCTTAGGAATAAATAAGAGCATCTAATTTAGGAAAGTGAACATAAAAACATACCAACTAAACTTTTTTTTCTGTTAAATCATAAAAAAAGGAATCTATTATTTTCCTCGAGGGTATTTCAGAAATAAGTCTGATACAAATTAGAATCAGAAAGAGTTCATTCTTCCTTCAGTACAGAATGAATTGTACTTTTAGAGTACTCTAAAATGTAACCTGTGTTTGCAGAAAACATTAAATTCTACATTGACAAATATTCCAGTCCATATAGGTTTCCTATATTCTCATTCTCCTATTTGTCAGATTCTCTATGCTTTTTTTTAATTTTTAAAGATTTTATTTATTTATTTATTTTCCCCCCAAAGCCCCAGTAGATAGTTGTATGTCATAGTTGCACATCCCTCTAGTTGCTGTATGTGGGACGCGGCCTCAGCATGGCCGGAGAAGCAGTGGGTCGGTGCGTGCCCGGGGTCCCGAACCCGGGCCGCCAGCAGCGGAGCACGCGCACCCAATCGCTAAGCCATGGGGTTGGCCCTCTACGCTCCCTTGAAAAGCCTACCATACAGGGAGAACTGACAACCAGTTCTTTAATGCGTTGGATATCCAAAAAGGAAGTAAGAAAGGTAAAGAAACTCTCTTTCTAGTTCCAGCAAGTGCATACACATCACTATTTCTCAGAACTAGAGAATCTGGACAAAGATAAATGAGTGAGAGGTACCAAACAAACTTCAAATGCAGTATTTTTACATGGGCTATTCTGAAATTTCTTTATTTAAATAAAGGGAGATAACCCAAATGCAGGCATTGCACAACTGGGCTAAAATATTGCTGAATGATCATATGAGAAGAAGTAGCATGAATCAGACTCCGTCCTCAAAGCTGAAAATTTTTGTTTCTTTTCAGCTTTTTCCTCTATTGATTTCAACCCCTATTTGTGTTTCAAAAGAGAAAACAAGTATTGTGGAAGGCAACTGCCAACACATTATATGGTGAATTTGGAAATATCTTCTTCAAATCAGTTTAATTACATTGGTATAATACTAGTTAAACTACTCCTACTCAATAGTGGCAAGTTCAAACCTCTGTGAAATATACTTGCCAACATTTTTGCTACAGAAAAAAACTAACACTGAGAAAACTGCAGATAATACTATGTCACTCTTAAAAAACTAGAATCGGGTATATTATGTGCTATTTTAATCTACGGTCCTTAGGGAAACTGTCCTTTCATTTTCTCTTTTTTCAAGTAGAAAAATGGAAAGTCCAACTTGTCTCAATGCTGTTCTCTTAAAATATTTTTTATTAGTATTTCCATTCATACAAAGACGTATTGTTTCCTTGCTGAGATTTAATTTTCTAAATGCATAACTATTATCGCATTTTTTTGTACAGCAGTTTACTTCATTCATTTACACAACTATTCACATAGCATGCAAACAAAAGATGTTTTCTTAAGAGTCGATGGTCATGTCTTAGTTATTATCTTAATAATATTAAGTCCTTAATATTTGTATGGTGCTAGTTAGTTTTCAAAGAAATCTTCATGTCTGTTATCTGATTCCCATAATGTCATAAGGGAATACTCTCATAGGTAAGGCTCATAGATACTAAGTAACTTGTTTAAGGGTGTCAGGACTAATAAGTGATAAAAAAGGACGACTTCTGATTTCCAGTCTACTACCCTTCTATCACTGCAGCAGTCGTGTTCATAACAGCACAACTGTAAATACTCAATAATTTTTTTTATTAAGATTTTCTTAAAGCAGTTTTAGGCTCACAGCAAAATTAAGAGGAAGGTACAGAAATTTCCCATACACCTCCTGCCCCCACACATGCGCAGCCTCCTCCACTATCAACATACCCCACCACAGTGGTACATTTGTTACAACTGATGAACCTACACTGATGAACTACATCATAATTACCCAAGGACCATAATTTACATTACAGTTCACCCTTGGTGCTGTACATTCTGTGGGTTTGGACAAATGTATAATGACATGTATTCATCATTATGGTATCACACAGAGTATTTTCAATGCCCTAAAAATCCTCTGTGCTCCACCCATTCATCCTTCCCCGCTCTGAAACCCTTTTGAACCACTGATCTTTTTACTGTTTCAATAGTTTTGCCTTTTCCAGAATGTAATATAGTTGGAATCACACAGTGTGTATCCTTTTTAGATTGGCCTCCTTCACTTACTAGTATGCATTTAAGGTTCCTCCATGTCTTTTCACGGCTTGACAGCACATTTCTTTCTAGTGCTGAATTATATTCCATTGTCTGGATGTACCACAGCTTATTTATTCATTTACCTACTGAAAGACATCTTAGTTGCCTCGAAGTTTCGGCAATTATGAATAAAGCTGCTATAAACGTGTGTGCAGGTTTTGTGTGGACATAAGTTTTTAACTCCTTTGGGTAAATATCAAGGAGTGTGACTGCTGGATCCTATGGTAAGAATGTGTGTAGTTTTGTAAGAAACTGTCAAACCATCTTCAAAATATTGTACCATTTTGCATTCCCCCTCGCAATAAACAAGAGTTCCTGTTGCTCCAGGTCACTGTCAGCATTTGGTGCAGCCAGTGTTCTGGGTTTTGGCCATTCTAATAGGTGTGTAGTGGTTATGTCATTGTTTTAAACTGCATTTCCCTGATGACATATGATGTAAAGCAACTTTTCACATGCTTAATTGCCATCTGTATGACTTCTTCATTGAGGCGTCTGTTAGGGTCTTTGGCTCGTTCTTTTAATCAAGTTGTTTTCTTATTATTGAGTTTTAAGAGTCCTCTGTATATTCTGGATAACAGTCCTTTATCAGATGTGGCATTTGAAAATATTTGCTCCCAGTCTGTGGCTTGTCGTCTTGTTCTCTTGACATTGTCTTTTGCACAGTGGAAGTTTTTAATTTTAATGAAGTTCAGCTTATCAATTATTTCTTTCATGGATCATGGCTTTGGTTTATATCTAAAAAGGCATCACCATACCCAAGGTCATCTAGGTTTTGCCTTATGTTACCTTCTAGAAGTTTTATAGTTTCATGTTTACATTTAGGTCTATGGTCCATTTTGAGTGAATTTTTGTGAAGGATGTAAAGTCTGTGTCTAGATTCATTTTTTCACACGTGTATGTCCAGTTGTTCCAGCACCATCTGTTGAAGACTCTCTTTGCTCCAATGCCTTCCTTTTGCTCCTTTGTCAAAGATCAGTTGACCATATGTGGGTCTACTTACGGGTTCTCTATTCTGTTCCATTGATTTATTTGTCTTTTCTTTTGCCAATACCACACTGTCTCAATTACTGTAGCTTTATAGAAAGTCTTGAGGTTAAGTACTGTCAGTCATCCTATTTTATTCTCCTCCTTCCATATTGAGTTGCCTATTCTGGGGCTTTTGATTCTCCATATAAACTTTAGAATCAGTTTGTTGATATCCACCAAATGACTTGCTGGGATTTTGATTGGGATTGCAATCTATAGATTAAGTTGGGAAGAACTGAGATCTTGACAATACTGAGTCTTCCTATCCATGAACATTGACTCTCTCTCCATTTATTTAGTTCTTTTTGATTTTACTCACAGTTTTGTATAGTTTTTCTCACGCAAATCTTGTACATATTCTCTTATATTTATATTTTATTTCATTTTGGGGATGCTAATGTAAACTGTATTTTTTTTAAGATTTTATTTATTTATTTTTCCCCCAAAGCCCCAGTACATAGTTGTCTGTCATAGCTGCACATCCTTCTAGTTGCTGTATGTGGGACGCAGCCTCAGCATGGCTGGAGGAGTGGTGCCTCGGTGCGCACCCGGGATCCGAACCCGGGCCGCCGGCAGCGGAGCGCACGCACTTAACCGCTAAGCCACGGGGCCGGCCCCTGTATTGTGTTTTTAATTTCAAATTTCTCTTACTCATTGCTGGTATATAGGAAAATGATTGACTTTTGTATATTAAACTTGTATCCTGCAACCTTGCTAGAACTGCTTATTAGTTTCAGGAGTTTTTTTGTCCATTCTTTTGGATTTTCTATGTAAGATGATCATGTCATCTGTGAACAAAGTTTTATTTCTTCCTTCCCAATCTGTATACTTTTTATTTCCTTTTCTTGTCTTACTGCATAAGCAAGAACCTCCAGAACAATGTTGAAAAGGAGTGGTGAGCAGGGACATGCTTGCCAGTGTCTGATGTTAGCACAAAAGTTTTAGTTTCTCACCATTATGATGTTAGCTATAAGTTTTTTTTTGTGGATAGTCTTTAGCAAACTGAGAAAGTTTCCCTGTATTCCTACTTTACTGAGAGTTTTTATCATAAGTGGGTATTAGATTCTGTCAAATGCTTTTTCTGCACCTATCAGTTTCATCATGTGATTTTTCTTTTTTAGCCTGTTGATGTGATGGATTACATTAATTGATTTTTGAATGCTGAACCAGTCTTGCATATCTGGGATAAATCCTACTTGGTCGTAGTGTATAATTCTTTTTGTACTTTTTTGGATTCGATTTTCTATTTATTCATTCATTCATTTATTTATTTATTGGTGAAGAAGATTAGCCCTAAGCTAACATCTGTTGCCAATTCTCCTCTTTTCGCTGAGGAAGATTGGCCCTGGGCTAACATCTGTGTCCATCTTCCTCTACTTTATATAGGATGTCGCCACAGCATGGGTTGACAAGTGGTGCATAGGTCCGCGCCTGTGATCCGAACCTGCAAACCCTGGGCTGCCGAAGTGGAGCATGCAAACTTAACCACTATGCCACCGGGCTGGCCCCTGTTTTCATCTTTTTAACCTAAGCTGCAAAGGATGTACAGATAAATATTTAAATACAATCTCATGATGAATCAGCAGCATCTATTACAACATAAGTTTTAATCTCGTTTCCCTCTTTTGTTATTCAGCTTCCTTTATTTTAAACTTCTTGGCTGCTACATGTAGAAAGTTAAAGCATTTTAAAATTCTAAAAAAAGGAATTACTCTTCCCTATGCTCATGCAGAAGCTTTGAGAAATTAAAATCCTATTTGGAGCAATAATACTCTTTATAAAAAGTTATTAAAAGAAATTATAAAAGCTGTGGCTTTAACAAATACATAGACAAATGGCAATAATTAAATGTGCTTTTAAGGAGGTGTTACTTTTCCAACAACCTCAGCCAATTAGGAAAAGGTGCTTTCAGAAGTCCTAGATCTTTATGTTTGTTGTAAGAACAGATCACTTACAACTACCTCCTCTGGTGGACACCAACCACTAATTGTATCACTTTCTCCTGTTTTTTTTTTTTGGTGAGGAAGATTAGCCCTGAGCTAACATCTGTTGCTAATCCTCCTCTTTTCGCTGAGGAAGATCGGCCCTGGGCTAACATCTGTGCCCATCTTTCTCTACTTTATATGGGACGCCACCACAGCATGGCTTGACAAGCGGTGTGTAGGCCTGCGCCCGGGATCCGAACCTGCAAATCTCCGGCCGCTGAAGCTGAGTGCGTGCACTTAACCACTACACCACTGGGCTGGCCCCTGTATCACTTTCTTTTGCTTGGCCACAATTTTTAAGGAAAATACAAAGTTTCAGGTATATTTCTACTACAGACTTTCCTATTCCTAGAGACTTAAGGAATGTATTGGTGTGAGGAGTGAAGGGTACTCAAGGAAATATAAACTTTGCTTACTTTGTGTTTTGTCTGAGGACAAAGATATGAGGATTTCATAAATGCTTTCTCAAAGGGAAGACTAGACGGAATACAGGAGTCACTGTGTCTCCTGTCTTCTCATGCTGTCAGTACAACCCAGTATGGAGTGTTACAATAAATCTATGTCCAGGCAAGTGTGTAACTCTCTGAATTTACTCTTAGAACAAACAAATGACAATCTGGGTGATTTGCTGTCTTTAATCCTGCCATTGGTATAAATCAGGGGTCAGTAAACTTTTTCCATAAAGGGCCAAATAGTAAATACTTTAGGCTTTGTAAACCACATAAGGTCTCTGTCATAGATCTCTCACAAATGTAAAAATCTTTTCTTAGCTCACACGCTGTACAAAAACAGTATTGCAGGTCAGGGCCGGCCCTGTGGCTTAGCGGTTAAGTGCGCGTGCTCCGCTACTGGCGGCCCAGGTTCGGATCCCGGGTGCGCACCAACGCACCGCTTCTCCGGCCATGCTGAGGCCGCGTCCCACATACTGCAACTAGAAGGATGTGCAACTATGACATACAACTATCTACTGGGGCTTTGGGGAAAAAAAAGGAGGAGGATTGGCAACACATGTTAGCTCAGAGCCGGTCTTCCTCAGCAAAAAGGGAAGATTAGCATGGATGTTAGCTCAGGGATGATCTTCCTCACAAAAAAAAAAAAAAAAAGAATGGTACCTTTAAGACTATTCAATGCCAATCATGCTTTTTATTTATTTATTTTTTTGTGAGGAAGATCAGCCCTGAGCTAACATCCATGCTAATCCTCTTTTGGCTGAGGGAGACTGGCCCTGAGCTAACGTCCGTGCCCATCTTCCTCCACTTTACATGGGACGCCGCCACAGCATGACCTGACAAGTGGTGCGCCACTGCATGCCCAGGATCCGAACCTGGGCCGCCAGCAGTGGAGCATGCGCACTTAACCGCTATGCCACGAGGCCGGCCCCCAAATCATGCTTTTGAGAACAGAGTCAGAGTGCGGCAGCAGAAAGGAAGAGTAAAGAATTACTTGGGGATATCACTAGTATTCAAGCTCCATGAATAGCCATTTTATATACTCCAAGATGTACTAACATTACTATAAAAAGAATCAGAGGGTGCCATTCTCTACATTAATCTCACAGAAATTTCCTTTAAACTGGAAAGCACTTTAAGTTAGTTTTTATTATAATGTACTTATAAAAATGATTTCTAAATCTAGAATAGAAAGTAAAAGTGCTAGATTATTTCAGCTCCAGGTTCTCTTCCAATTAAGAGTCTATGACTTGAAAAACTTGTTTTTTAAATTTTTAAATAGAGCACGTAAGAAACTCTGGTGGGTAAAAGTACACGATAAGCTGCAAACTGCAAGGATCATTTTCAGTACACAGACATTATAAATCCTTAAGTCTCTAAAGAAATTAGCTTGAACTTAAGTAAAAGATGAATTTAAAAGAAGTTGTAACTATTTATAAAGAAAAATGAAGCTTCTTTCCTCTTGATTCATCTCCAAATTTAGAAAAGAATTGTAGCTTAAAACTAAGTCCAACCACAATCAATGTAGGTTCACTTAAAGCCACAGATCTTGGTATCTCATGTTCTACACCAAGGCAAATACTGAAAAGAATTTAAACCAGTTCAACAAACATAGCAAAGGACACTGAGCTTACTATAAAAAACACCTCAAATTCACTTTGTAAATGAAGAAAAAACCTTAATTAGTAAGTTGATATCCCCTTTCCCTCAATCGTGTGAATTTAACAGAGTCTAATATAAACTAAAATGTATTGGTTATCACATGTTCTTACACAAATTTAAACAATAACATAACGAAAAACATCGTTTCAGACAGAATAAAAACCAAGGCTATTAAGAAAGGCCACAGTCATAGGGACACAGTGTCCCACAAGCTGAGATAACGAACAAAGTAACACTCTCGAGCCAGTGACCAAACGTGCGTGCTCCTGTAGTCTACTGATAATCAGAACCCTCAAAGAGAACCCGTAAGAATTAGAGGCAAACAAACCTAATTCAGTCGTTTTAGTATTTCCATTTGTTTTGCATGCCGAATCTGCAAGAAAGAAAGCAAGAAAATGATTAGAGCTTAAAAGGAAATGCATTATATGGTTCTTTACCACAGGTTCATCATCAAAACCTTAACAGATCTTTATCATTACAATACTTAAAAGGATAGCTATCTATCAAAAAAACCCAACCTAATTCTTTCTTAAAGGAAATGACTGATGAGGAGTAGAAACCTACTGTGAAGATAAATAAGCTTCCTTTTCAGTTCCCATGATAAACCATCCTTATGGGCCAAGGGACTCTACAAATGAAGTACAAGTAGACTGCTTGGAATGACTCTTTAATAGTCATGAGAATCAACTTAAGAGCAACACTTTTTTAAGGTTTTAGTCAGAAAGAAATGTAATTGAGGCAGGGACATTTTATAGCCCTGAGCCACAAAGCCTCAGTCTTGAATTTTTGTTAGCATTATACGGGGAAGAATACAAAATCCCTGGCCCTGGTTTAAAATTATGATGCTAACAAAAAGAATCACAGCAACATGTTAAGAAACAACCTCTTCAACAGGAGGAGGAAGCCCTTTAGACACTTATATGGAAAGATGTCTCAGTATGTTAAGCCAAAAAAACAAACAATAGGTGAAGAAAAGAGTATTTATCAGGCTAAAATTTGTGTGGAAAAAAAGGAGGAAAAGATCATTTATACATGAATATCTTTATATCTCCAAAAAATATCTCTAGAAAAATACCTAAGAAATTGACAACATTGGTTGCCTCTGTTGAGGAGACTGGGTGGGTAAAGGACAAAGGGGGCAGGAAGACTTCTCACTGAATATTTATAGTAACTTTTGAATTTTGAACCATATGAATACATGGTACTTACCCTATCGAAAAATAAAATTGTATTTATAGAAACTTTAAACCAACAGACAACACAATCTCTTACCAGATCTTGAGCTTCTTAGAGGGGGTCTACACAGGTCGATTATAGGATCTTCACTCATCACTAATACAGGAAGAGAAAACATTTAAAAAAATATAAAATGTCAAACATACTGGATTTATTATACAACCATCCATTTATTCAACAAAGGTTTTTCTGAGCTTTTCATTATGCTAAGTATAGGAATACAATAGTGAACCAGAGACAAGTTTCCTGCCATAAAAAAATTTATAGACTTCATGGAAAAATTCATAATTTTTCTCAGCAGACCATATTTGTATAAAAGGAAAGGAATATCAAATAAAATTCTTTTAAATTTCTCAATTAAGAACCAAAATCTGTACTGTAACAACAACTCAATTATCTATTCCATTTGTGGCTTACCCCCACTGTGGATTATTTCTGGCATATTTTAATTTTAGGATTAACTTCCTGACAGTTAATACACTCCCTCCAACTATTTAACCCCGTGCACGTTCAGGAAATGCAAACTCTAATTTTAAATAAAATGTTAATGTTAGCCAGAGTTTGTTTCAGATTGTCTATGATTCAATGAATAAGGTTAATGGGGAAGACCATCAAATAAATTGTTAACGTTTGCATGGAAAACCAAGGAGTGTTTTCTCAAAGAGCCTCATACAACACATTCTAAAACCCAATACATATCTAAATTTCGAAATATTATATTTTGTTTCATCTGTCTCTATAAAAAAGCATTATGTTTGGTTCTGTATGAGAACTGCAAAAACCACATTCTGAATTGGCTATCACTGGCCCCCTCCATCACACTGACTGCCTATATTTGTTTTTACAAAACCGACTTAACCTAATTTCTCCTTTACAGTACCTAAAAGAGAAATCTTGAAGGGAAAGCCATTCATTTGTTCAAAAAAATACTTACTGAGCATGTTTTTATGCATCTTAGAGATGTAGAAAAGCGATTAAATTGATCTTATGTAGCTCAAAAAGGCAGAACTAAGATCAACAAGAAAAAGTCACAGCAAAGTAGCTTTTAGTTTAATATTAAAAAAATTATTAATGCTGTCTCCAAAACAGAACAGATAGTGAGGGAACGATTTCCATATGACTGAAGATGATCAGGCAACGTATGAATGGATGTTAACAAAGGGACACCTGCACTAACAGAAACTTGGAATAGATGACTTCCCTAAATCTTCCAGCTATAAAATTCAATGAAGTACTTTTCTCAGTTGTTAGCATTTTACACACCACGTATTTAGAACTTATATAAATAGCTTTAAAAATAAATCTTGTACATGTCCATAATCCCAAGATGATAACTACCTTCCTCTTTTCTCCTCTGAATTTCCACTTTTCAGGTTTAATTAAAACCTAAAGCTCAGTCTATAGATGTCAATTACTATTTCAGTTCCCATCTTTCAATTAAGAAGCATCTCCTGTATGCTCTATTATATACATAGCCTTATATAAGATACTTGAAGGAGCCAGAGTACCAGACAGAGGTATTAGAGTATAAAATAGCAAGTATCCTCTTGTAGCAATCTCCTTCCCTTGTCTGCTTTTGCTCACCACTGCACCCCCAGCATCTAGCATGGGGTCTGGCATAAAGTAGATGCTCAATAAATATCTGTAAAATGAATGAATGCTGTAACTAAAGCAGCCAAAGAATCAAATGTTCATGACAAAATAGTAGGCATTCAAAGATATTTGATTATTTATCTAGAAACCATAACCATTAGAACAAAAGTATTTTTTTAACTTTAGGAAAAGAAAATGAAATTTTCCTAACATATTTTTAGATTATAAAATCAGTTTCATGATTTCCAGAAAAGAATGAATCTGGCCATAGAAGAGCAGTTATATATGTATATGTGGACTGAACTGATTAAACAACTTAACGGCTATTTTAATGTGAAAATAATTGAATTCTGGAACTTCAAACAATGAGAAGAGTTCAAACTGTATCCTTGTTCTAAACTAATATAATCAACATTTTTCATGACTTCCAAAAACAAGATGACAAATGACATAGTTGTCTTTACTAGGTTGTTTTAGAAGGTTGTCTTTACTAGGTTGTTTTAGAAGGTGGCTTATGTCTTTATTCTTAAGGGCGTCTTTGGATAAATTTCTTTTAGACTACACCCATGGTTACTACAATTACAGCACTATTCTTAATACTAAAGTTAAACTAAGTCTATGATTCTACGACGAAGAGGAAGGGCCTATCCTTAAATCCGTACTTAAAGCAATCCTCCATCAGAGTGACTCACTCTTATTTAAATAATTCCTCTGTTAGACAGACTTTACAAGCATTTATTTAATAATTCCCTAAACTCTTTCTCCTTTCATTAAGAGGCATGAGATGGGAGCATGCCAAGTGCTAGATGCAATATAATTTTTAAAAGCACCTTTTATAGTAAGAGTACTCTGAGTATCCTAAATCTCCCAAAGATGCACATATCCTTATTTCTAGTTATATTGTATAACAGTGTGCTATTGATATATTCCAGGTAATCTATGCATGGGTTCCAATCTATCAATCATCTATACAGCCACTCACTGCTTTACGATGGGGAGATGTTCTGAGAAATACGTCACTGGGCGATTTCATCATTGTACGAACATCATAAAAGGGTACTTACACTAACCTAGATGGTATAGCCTACTACACACCTAAGCTATATGGTACTGATCTTACAGGACCACTGTCGTATATATGGTCCTGTCATCGACTGAAACATTGTTATGTGGGGCATGACTGTACTGAGAAATGTTGTCTTCTCCATTTCCAATTATAGCGTACGCTTCTTGAGAAAAAGAAATGCTTAAGCAAAATTTTATGAACTTCACATCTCTTGTAAAGTGCCATGAGGAAAACAAAAACCTTTTATTTGTATATTTTACTATGTATAAAGTGATTTTGCATGTATGGTATCATTTCCACAGTGGCCTTGTGAGTTAGACAGGGCAAATCATATAGATAAAAGCCTCAGGCTGAAGGTGGCTGGGTAACTCAACCAATGTCCAGTGTTCTTTCCACAACATTATGCAGCCATGTACCTCAGTAGCAGTCCTTAAATATAGGCCTAATGTGAACTTCAAAAGACAACCGTTCAAGACATTCTATTACATAATAGTTTTATAATGGTCTATAGGCTACGGTCTTCATTACATCTAATTAGTTAACTCCGTAATTTTTATGAAGTTATTCTAGATTTTAAAAATGAGACATTTTTGCTTCTCGAGGTATAAAGGACATGCAATTAAATCTATTATAAATAAAACTTCAAGAATATGTGGTTTTTCCAAATGGCCTGGAAAATCTGATTATAGCATCTATTACTCAAAGTATTGTTCTAAGATAGTTTATAATCTTAACACAGTAACATAGGCTGTTTAAGGAAGTAAGCACAAAAGGTGTGTTTATTTGGAATGGAACTTGAGCCAGATATACTTTACTTCTTTTTTTTTTTTTTTTTTATTTATTTTTTCCCCCCAAACCCCCAGTAGATAGTTGTGTGTCATAGCTGCACATCCTTCTAGTTGCTGTATGTGGGACGCGGCCTCAGCATGGCCGGAGAAGCAGCGCGTCGGTGCGAGCCCGGGATCTGAACCCGGGTCGCCAGCAGTGGAGCACGCTCACTTAACCACTAAGCCACGGGGCCGGCCCTAGCCAGATATACTTTATTCTAAATTGAGAATAGAATAGTTCAAATTACAAAGCATAATCTTATCAGAAGCAATGGATAAGGAAATAAGTCAGGATATGGGTAAAAAAAAAGCCGGGGATGATCAGTTTCAATAGCTATAATCATTTATTGTTGTGGGACTTTCCTAATATCAAAAAAACTGAAAATAGGGACCAGCCCGGTGGTGTAGTGGTTAAGTGTGCGCACTCCACTTTGGAGGCCCAGGGTTCAAGGGTTTGGATCCTGGGCGCAGACTGATGCACCGCTTGTCAAGCCATGCTGTGGTGGCATCCCATACAAAGTAGAGGAAGATGGGCACGGATGTCAGCCCAGGGCCAATGTTTCTCAGCAAAACGAGGAGCATTGGCAGATGTTAGTTCAGGGCCGATCTTCCTCACACAAAAAAACCAAAAAAACAAACAAAAAAACTGAAAATAAACGGAACTAAAACCCAACAATACTAAGATTAATAACTAAACTTAATCCTTTCTCCTGCTTTTCAAAATAATTTAAACAGTTTTTACAACTTCAGTAGACTATCAAATGTAGCTTACTTCCATGTTATATTGATACTAAGCTGCAAATATTTTTACATTTTAACATCTCTGAAATTGGGAACATCATACAATATATGGCATATTACAGTTTAACTGGCAGCATTTCTTCCTTCTAGGCGGTACATAAAACGATAGTGTATCTTACAACTGATGCTATCTTAGATTCGATGAAATATAGCATCATACTGACAAGATTGACCGTATTGTGTCATGATTTTACTATGCAGAACATTTAATCCATTTTAAATGGAAGGCAGTGTAACATATTCCTTCACTCAACACTTAACAGACTTTACTGAGTAGCTAATTATTACATAGGAGAGCCACAGTGAGATACTTGGGGAAATGAAAGGGCTCTGGAGAAGACAAACCTGGGTCTGAATTTTGGCTCAGTCACATATAGTGTAATCTTAGGCAAGAGTCTTAGCTACTCTGAGCTCCAGTTTTCTCATCTATAAAATGGGTATATCTATCATGCATAGTTATGTGAATGAATGAACTAACACATACAAAGTGGCTGGTAATTAGTAGATACTCAACTATCTGCCCAGTCTTTTCTTGACCCATGCCTGTACTGCTTAATTCCATAAACAACCTATGAAGCAGATTCACTGAAACTCTGAATGAAGTATGATTTGGGGCCCTTGATGAACTGGCGATAATCTGTACATAAAAAAAAGCTGTCAGGTAAAGAAAAAAACAAAATCACTCTTCTCACCTGGAGTTTCTTGTGTTCTCCAGATAGTTTTCTTTGAGACTGTTTGGCTTACAACAGTATTTGAAGATGGTTCATCCTCTAAAGAATAGACATGAAAATTGTCAAAATTCAGAATATATGATCTAGGTAGAGATTATGCATATTAATAGCAATATATAAGCAGAAATACAAATAATTCATTTCTTTAGAAATGTGTAATTAGGTTTAGCAAAACTTAAGAATTTAACTAGTCAGAAATAAACACTCTTAAGACAATATAAAAATAAACCATTCATCACTGATGTTTTACAACAAAAGTATATTTACTTTAGAAAATTTAAAAGATGGGCTTGTTGTTGTTAGTGCTGTGGAGTTGATTCTGACTCCTAGTGACCCTGTGTACAGCAAAGCAAAACCCTGCCCAGTCTTTTTGGCCATCCTCTCACCTTCGGTGCTGTATCAGACAATGCTCTGCTGTTATTCATAGGGTTTTCATGGCCAATTTTTTTTGAAAGTGGGTGGTCAGGTCCTTCTTCCTAGTCTTAGTCTGGAAGCTCTGCTGAAACCTGTTCACCGTGGGCGACCCTGCTGGTATTTGAAATATCGGTGGCATAGCTTTCAGCATCACAGCAGCATGCAGCTGCCACAGTGTGCCAACTGACAGACTGGTGGTGTGGTTCCCAGACCAAGAAACGAACCTGGGCCTCAGTGGTGAGAGCCACCAAATCTTAACCACTAGACCCCACCAGGGCTGGCCTAAAAGATGGGGTAGAGTTTCACTAATGATGTGGAAAAAGCAGAACAGTGAAAAACGTTTAGATTCTTACAGACGTACTAAAATTGAGGCAAAACTTGTGTGTTAAAAAAAATTAGCTAGTATAACTGCACTAGGCTCTGTGGGAGAGTCAATACAATGTAACATATATTTATTGCCTACTATGTGGAAAGCATTCTTCCAGATATTGAAGGAGATACAGAATTAAGGCAACTACTAAAGTATAACATGGCCCTTCAAATATATATAACAGGATCTTTGTTTTCAGGAAGTTTATCTTAAAAGAGAGAGAAAACTCATATATATGGGCTAACCTGTCTTGAGTTGTTACATCCAATAGTAACTTACATATCTTTAACACAAAGTTTCCAAAATCAACACATCTTCAAATGTGTCAGCAGGTAAACGTGCAGTCTATTACTCTGAACTGAAAATCTACCTCCTCTTCATATCCATCAACGGTCTACCACTAACTATGTAATCCCACTGTGATTCAAATCCCCTGATTTTTACCTCATAAGTGCCTTACATGGGGCTAACATGAAACTTCACCTATGTGTGTTGGGGAGGGAAGGCAGGGTGGGAGAGGATGGATTAAGGAAGTTGATTCACCTGTGACTTACCTAAAACTATATACCTTGTCAGCATCCTTTTGGCCCATTCAGACGAAAACTAATTAGAGTCGTGCTTTGTCAAGCTCCTTAACCACTGAAGTTACACTGAGGGCCCTCAACGTGGCGAATTTCTGGCAGAGACCACCACACTCAAGAGAGAGCGATCAGCTCAAGTTTATCAGACAATGAGGAGCTTCAAGTTCAGGATAAACGACTTACCCCGTTTCGGGTAAGTATTTGGGTGGGGTCTCAAGCCAATTCACCAATCACGCTATCCCTCCAAACGCCCACTCACAAAATTTCCCCTCCCTCTCCCCCCAGCTGGCTAGTGACGGAAAAGGAAGGAAAGGTTACATTAGAACCACGCTTCTCAACTGGGGACTTCTGGCCTCAGAGTTAAAGGAGGAAATGGAAGTGGCTTTGGTAGACACATCCGCAAGAGAGAGGAAACCGCAATGAAACCGAGCCTGGAGTGATTCGGCGTCCCGCCTAACTAGCCGTCCCCCGTGAAGGCCCGCAGAACGAGGCAATCCCGACACCCCTAAATTGATGCCTCGGGACGGGCAGAGCTCCGCGGCTCTGCTCAGGCCGCCCCGCAAGACTGCCTGTCCAGTCCTCCCGCCCGAGCCTCTTTCCCGCCTGCGCTTGGGCGGACCCCGCGTAGAGGCGCACGTCCAGGGGGCGGGGGAGCCCCGGGAGCGCCGGCGGGGATGAGTGCCGGGGAGGAGCCCGCCCGCCCGCTGCACGCCAACATCCCGCCCGTGCCCGCTCGCTCGCTGGCTTTCGGCTGAGACTGTTACCTCCGCCGGCCTCACCTTCAGAGGAATGAGAGTCCCGTATCCCTCTCCTGGTCGTAACCGGAGACGGCTGCAGCGGAGGCTGCAGTGAATGGTGCTGCTGTAGGCGAGTAGCCCTTCGCGTCTGCATCTCCTCGGCTTCCAGACGTCGCAGCTGCGACCGCCGCCGAGACCGAAGGTAGTAGGCGCTTTCTCTCACTTCCTCTTTCCCAGAGTCGGGCCGGAACTCTCGTAGCGGGATTCGTCTTCCCACCGGGGACTTTTCTTTGGCCACCCGGGGCTCGAAGTCACCGTACACTTCTGGCGGCTCTTCTGAGAACCTCACTTCCCGCCGGCCGTGGCGCGACGGCGGAGTTCCGTACGCAGGCGCATTACTGCCGCCGCCATTTTGAGGGGCGAGCCGGCATCTTCTTTCCCGCAGCGGGGCCCTGGGCGTGACGTACCATGCCCATTCTTCCCTCACCGGCTCCGCCCGCCGCCCCTCGCCCGCCATAGTTGTTGACGTAGCTTGAGTCGACCGCGAAGATGGTTAGGGGGCCCCTAGATTCTCCAGCCGTCGATGGCACTGGCTTTTCGGGGCTGTTGGGCGGTGGTCGCGGCCGTCAGGGAGGTAGTTGAGAGTCGCCGGGGCCGCCGCCTGCGTCGTCGCTGCTGTGCTGCAAACCTGCCTCTGGGCCCATGGTGTGTCCTGAGGGCTGTGGGAGAGGCAGTGCCTGTGCTGGGTCAGCTGCTGTGGGTCACTCCCGCCTCCTGGCTGAGGGCACCAAAGAGGAGGAGAAGAGGGAGGAGGACGTCGCTGTCCTTGGCCTTGGAGGAGGGAGGGAGGAGACGACGGAGAAGGGACAACTGACGGGGCAGATTGCCTCTCCTAAGCCCAGCTGCTCGTGGCAACTGTTGCCCGAAAGCAGGAGACGCCCGTCCTGGCGCCCAGTGCCGAGTGTCTGGGAAAGGCCGAGCAAGACGGGGGCGGAGGAGAAGTTTGAGTCCTCGCCCCCTGGCTGTTGCGCAGTTCTCCTGGAACCTTTTTGATGGACTGCTTCCTTAGCCATGCCTCTTCAAGTGTCCTTAGCAGGAGTGAGGATAAGAAAGATATTTTTGCAGGTCTTATATCTTTTCTTGGAGAAATTTTTATTTTCAAGCTCCTTATGAAGGCAGTTATCCAGTTTTAAATTTAAGTCACCTGTTGCGAGTGTACAAAATCGTACCTACAGGCATATTCGGGTGGATTTCCATTTGCAAAATGTACGCAGAGCAAATAGGCTCTTATTCTTGGCTTTCGTATAAAAGCTCTGTGCCAGCAGCACTCTTCGGAAACCTTGTTAGCGCTGTGTTACGGGCAGTGAGAAATGAGCAAATACTTTGCTTAAAGCCGCGCTGTCTTTTAACTTGTGATCCGTTATCTTTACTTTGCTTCTGGGCATGACTTGAAATACTGCGTGTGATTTAGGGTTTCCTGCGTTTAGTTTACTGACTAAGAAAGCATGATAACTGTTTGTTTCACCTCCGTATACCATAGTTACAGATGTGAATAATCTGCAAATATCTAACCAAATTTAGACACACCGAGGGAAGGTTAAGTTAAAGTCTGAATAGTTACTGAAAAAAAGATTAATGTTACCTTCAAATATACACGCTTGTCTTGCAGGACTTTTCTGTAATTGATTTTAGTGAATAGATTTAAAAACTTGTAACTTATACCAATTACAATGAATGATTTTGTAAAGTTTGAAGGTATTTGTTTATTCTTTCAAGTCTTTTAAACCCCTTCGAATGTTTTTGAGCGACTCTTGCTGAAACTAGGCACAAATTTCAATTTAATGAAATATTAAGGTGTACTGTGTTTTCACTAATAGTCTATAAATTTGGCCCCAGACACAAGGAATTACATACTTTAGACAGTCACCTAGGTTTTAGCTTGTTAGGGATTTAGTTTAGTTTAGGTTTGTTTACAATATGCAATATAGCCAAAGAAACTGGAGGAACAGTAACAAGGGAGATGCTTTTTTTCTTTTTAATCATTTATCTTAAGGGAAAATTAAAAGTGTATTCTCCTTTGTCAGCTTGAGTTAGTATATTTGGAAAATTTGTGAGAATTAACTTTTCTGACAAAATGCTGAAGAATATAGATACTTGGTAATACCTGGCTTTTATTATGTTTTAAGTAAGACTTTCTCTATAACGTGCCTATTCTATTACTCATTATTAACATATAATAGTAAAAGTTCCGTAATAGATGTAATTATTAAAGGATATAAAACCTTATAGTATTAATGTACAAAGTTCATATTATGTACATTAATGCATATATTAAGAGCCTCTTTAAAACATTTACCAGGACAAATGACTAAACAGAAATTTGGACAGACTTGTGAAACTTAAGTTTGGGGTATACTAAAAAAGAGAGAAAGGACAAGAGGTTCTGCATATTATTGAACAATCAGAGAAGATGAGAGGTTCTCCGTATTATTGAATAATGAGTACATGTGTTATTTTGTAATTAAAAATGCTTGTAAAGGCTTAGGAATGACTTTCCAAAGAAACGAATCATGAAAATCTTAAAGAAGAATCAGAGGCACAGTAACTGGAACATTAACATGTATATTTGCTTAGGATTTTCCCTCTTTTGTCTAGGTAATAAAACTACATAATCCTAGCTCTGCCATACCTGCCTCCCACACCTAGCAACCTTACAAATACCAACTTTAATAACTAAGTGTGAGGTAAAGCTAAACTCTCGTCAAACCAGATATTCTGCTGTAGATGTTTTCCAGACTACAAGGGTGGCCCAAAAGAAGTGACATTGCAGAGACAGACTCATAGCCTATATTATAAGGGAATTGCGGAGCCACTAATACGAAGAGGAAAATACTAAGAGGAGGTCTGGATGTTAGTTACCTTGGGAATTTGAGATACGTGGAGGAATTCAGTGAATCGAAAGAGAAGACAGTTAAGAAAGGAAATGATTGTAAGAAAGAATACATTGATGTTAATAAATATATGAATTAGTGAGTGTATTCTTTACCAAGATGTTTAATAAATATATGAATTAGTGAGTGTATTCTTTACCATTAGGGAATTTGCCATATATTAGGTAGGAGAGATATACTACAAATTATAATTTAGATTAAATGATGCGTTAATTTATATATCTAGCTGTTAGGCCTAAGTCTAGAAATCCAGTGTTCTTGACACTGGATTTCTAAATAAAGCAGCTATTTTAAATGAAACATTTTAAAGTAATAATTTTTGTACATGAGTTTTTTTGTTTAGGCAGAAATACAATTATTTACAGATAAAGCACTGTCAATTTATTGTGCATAATATGCACATTTCTGGTCAGATAGGGAAATAAATAACGGGTTTTATCTTAGTAGAAAGAGGCAACATTGTTATTTTTAATAAGGAAAAGATGATTAAAATATTAGAGGAAGTAAATTAAAGACATAGTAGTTGGCTCCATTTATTCCCCATTCTCACAAGTGACAGAAAAAGTATTTTAAAGACTTTATACGAATGAAAATGTCTAGCTGGAAATGTTATACTGAAATTAAGAAAATTTAAACTCAGTGAAGTGAATGGAATATAATAAATATTCTTCCACTTATTCTCTGTTGAATTAGAAATTGCAGTCAGTTATTAAACATCATCTAAGAGTGTTTCCAAATCCTGTGACTTCTGCCAAAAGAGGATGATTGAGAGGTGGAGGCACTGATAAATGAAGAATCATTTATCCAATAAATATTTGAGTTTCTGCTGTGTACAGTCAGACCCTGTTGTAGGTGCTGGAGATTCAACAGTGAAAGAATAGACCAAAGGACAAAAATCATCCCTGCTGTCTTGGAGTTTATATTCTATGGGAGTCAGATAAAAAATCAAAATAAGTAAAATAGTGTGTTGGTCAGAAGTGTTATGGAAAAAAATGAGGAAAGGAGAAGTGAGATTTTGAGTAGATTTCTTCTATATTGTCTTGAATTGGTGTAGGTCGGGAACAGAAGTTTTAGATTTACTTAACTTTGCCCCTAGCCAATTATGTGTTCTTGGGTAGATTGCTTGCCATCTCTCCGTTTTCACATTTGCGAAATTAATAGATCAAAATAATAGCTACTCTTTATTCATCATTTACTACTATCATTTAGCAGACACCATTAAGTACATTAGCGCATTTCCTCACAACCACCTTATGAGGTACGTAGCGTTGTCCCCAGTTGACAGGAGCAAACTGAGGTTTAGATTAAGCAACTCGTTTGAGGCCAAGCACCTAGTAATGATAGAGGCCGGGTTCCAAGTGTGATGTCTGACTGGTGCTTGCCATCATCATTGGGTAGTGCCTCTCACTGTGTTGGTTCCATGGGTTCTTCCAGCCTATGCTTTCTAGATCATTGTAAGGGTTAGGGTCGTCCGATGCGCTGCGGAGATGCCTGCTTCCCGTCAGACAGCAGCACGGAAGCCAAGCCGGGACGGGTGGTTCTGCTGCGCGCGCTCACCACGCCTCTTGCTCCGGCGGGGCTGGCTGCGGGGGAGTGGAGAGACGTGCGTGCGGGCGACTGGGGAGGAGGAGGAGGGGCCGGGCGACTGCCAGTCCCGGCATTCCGCGGGCCCTCCCCGCCCGGAGGTCGCCGTCACGTCACGTGGACAGGCACAGGGAATACGTTCTGTTCCGCCGAGTCGGAGGGGTGCAGCCTCTGGTTGTGGGGCAGAAAGAACACGCGAAGGGCTCCGCTGACATTGACAGTGGACGGTTTAAAACCTCGCTAGGATTTGTAAGTAAACAAAATGTATATACAACTTTTCCATGTTTTAATGTTTGATCTGATATCTGATTTCGAAACATATTTCAGAAACGATCCCTCCCCACCCCCACCTCCCTACTGCAAAAACCCTAAACGGAGCAGATTGGGGGTATATTTTTGTTTTGTAGTAACGAAAGATAAACAGAACCTTATAAACCTTAACAGTAAGGTGGGAATAAATGTTTGGTTTGGACTTTGAGAAGGGAAGCAGAATTCCTATAAGGCTCAGAATGTAAACGGGGAATCAGACTACCACTGTAGGTGGTGATTACTTCCCTTTACCTCTGCCAGACAGGATCCCGTCTTTCGGCATCTTAATTCTTATAAGATAGTACCCCCCCCTTTTTTTTTAGCTTTAGTGGTGCTAAAAAGGGCAAAGTTTTGAAGTTTTAGTAAGATTCTACAATTACCATTTTTCTTACATATTATATATGTATTCCCGATTGTATTTCATACCCAATGAGAGAGTTTACCCCTTTTTCCTTCCTTCATGGAAGTGTCTAGTACTCTCTACTTTATCAGTAGTGCTTAATTGTTAGACTTTATGTGCAGGTGCAGAGGTGTTATCTTAATCTGCTTCAACATACTGTTTTTGTTTCATTTTTACCTGTCTTTAGGTTTTAAAACATTTTATTTTGAATCTATATGAGAGATCCTTTCCTTGTCTCTCTTTTTTAAGTATTAGGGCGGTGGCAGCTATCTGTATTTTTCAGCTTTATTTTTCAAGCACATGATTATATAAACGGCCAGTGGAAAATCATTTAATAGAAAAAGGATCTTAATGGTAGGGGAACTAAAAATGTTCTTGGAAGCCTTTGTGTGGATTAGAACAGCTTGAAAAACTGACATTTGCTATAAAACTTTAAGTGAGAGCCTCTCAATAATGTTTATTATGCTGAATGCAGAGCCCACAAGCTGGTTACCGGTTTTGCTGCTGGTTTATCATGTAACCATGAGTGATTCATTTAAGTTCTATTTCACTTCTTTTTCCTTCTCAGTGTAGAGATGATAATACTAGCCTGAGAGCTTCTATAAATCACAAATAAAGTAGCTTAAGAATATAACCAATTATTTGAGGATTATTGGATATTTTGATATGTGTTGTGTCTTGTATATAATTTATTTTTGCCCAAGAAGTCATTTTAAACTGTATTCCATGGAAATCTACATTTCTTTGAAGTTCCACTTGAATTTCCTGAAGAAGAGTTTGCTCAGAGAAGCCTTGTCTGATTCACACTGTTTTTTGTTTAGAATTTTAATTGTGTTAAAGTGTCATTAATACTCTATATCTTATGACTACTATTGTGTCCCACATGAGATAATTTAATATAGTCATTATACTTTTTCATAAATTTGGCACAGCACATCAAACATTTGTGAATAAAGAAGCGTGTCCCCAGCGTTGGTTATGAGCATAGACTTTGGAGTCAGAGCTGAGTTTGAATTCCTGTTCTGTCCCTGTGTGACTTGGCAGGTTGCTTTATTGCTCTGACCCCATTTCCTCATCTGTAAAGTCCATAGGGTTATTTGGAGTATTAATGGGATAGTTTAAGGACTCAGTAAATGGAAACTGTTATTACTAATTGGACTACTTTCTTCTTTACTAATATTAAAGGAGTTGGCACTTGATTTTGATAATCAAAATAGAAAGGAAAATTCACCTATAATTCAACTAATTTTGATAATCAAACTAGAAAGGAAGAAAATTGACCTATAATTTTGCTACCTCAACAGATCAAGTTGTTTTGATTTTTATATACTTTTCCTTTAGCCCTCGACCATAGGTATACATAATGTAAATGTAATAACATTTTTGAAAAAAGTCACATTTAAAACATTGGTTTGTTAACTTCTGGGGACTTTGTTTTAATTATATGAATAGAGCTTTCTGGTTCTGCCTTTATGCTGATCTACTAGTGAAAAAACAGAACTTTTTTAGCACAGTTTCTGCTTGCTTTCCGCATTCCAAAAAATAAAACCTCTAGTTGCACTTTTATTTAATTGTTCTAATAATAATTAACAGTTTTTGAGGACTTCTTTTATGCCCCTGTAGTGGTAAGTGCTGCACATTATGTTTTAACCCTCACAGTGCCTCTTTCATCTAGATAGCGTCATTCCATTTTGTGGTTAAGAAAACCAAGGCATAGAGAAGAGTTCACCAGAGAAGTCGGGTGCTGGAGCAGCTGTTCAGGCCTGGGCAGTCTGACTTTAGACGGCAGTGCTGCAAGGGTTTTATATTTGTACATTTGCTATATGGATGTTAGGTGATATACGTAGGCAGGAGTTGATTCTGGAGGCTGACTTACAACTTCTATGTATAAAGGTAATAATATTTGTACTTTATAACTACTGGGACCACCATATTTTAAAAAAATTTTATAGGAAATTAACAAAGAAGAATAGGGAAGTGTTTAGTGCTTTAAGAGATGAGGCATTTACCTATAGTTTTATTAGTTGTGGTAGTGAAAACATGATGTATACACAAGACAAGTGATTAAGACTAAATTTTCGCTTTTTCTTTATTGGTGATAAACATAGTAAAGTAAACGTTGGGTTTATAGTGAAGGAAAACTAACTTTTCTTCTTTAAAGCAGTGTTTCTTAAACTTGATAGTAAGCATCAGAGTCATGTGGTGAAGCTGTTAAAACACAAAATCCTCCACCAGACCCTCAGATTCTGGTCTAGTAGGCCTGGGGTGGGGCCCAAGAATTTGCATTTCTAACAAGCTCCCAGGTGATGCTAATGATTTCGAACTCATGAATTTGGTAAGAACACAAATATTAGTGGTGGTTGTCCAGATTGCTGGCCTGGCAGTGAAACTCTAGGAATAATGCGTGCCCAGCTCTTGGTTTTTAAACACTGTTCTCAATAAAAGAAACCAGAGGGGCCGGCCTGGTGGTGTAGCGGTTAAGTGCACGTGCTCCTGCGGCCCCGGGGTTCGCAGGTTGGATCCTGGGTGCGGACTGATGCACTGCTTGTCAAGCCATGCTGTGGCCGTGTCCCATATAAAGTAGAGAAAGATGGGCACGGATCTTAGCCCAGGGCCAGTCTTTCTCAGTGAAAAGAGGAGGATTGGCATTGGATGTTAGCTCAGGGCTAGTCTTCCTCACAAAAAAAAAAAAAAAAACCCACAAATTTTTGGAAAAGTAGTTGATTCCAGAGCTGTGGCAGGGAATATACAAGATGAGCCTGGAATATCTTGTGATGCTTGAAATTAAGGAAACGCTCAAAGAACTTTTGGGGCTTGTTGAAAGGACACAGGAGGCAACTTGAAGGAGCTCCTAATGGCCAAAGTTGGAACAACTTGAGCAACAAAATGTATAATGATAGTATTGGATTTTAACCTATAGAATAAAGTATCCATGAGTCCATACTGACGTAGTTGAATAAATAAATAGAAGAGAAGGGACACTCTTTCTTACAGAAGAATTCCAATGAATAAACATGGAAAGCAAGAAATAGAAAATCACCATTAGGCAAACAGCACTGTAGTAATTATTGCAGACAAAATTCACTTGTGATGCTAGTGGGCGAAAGTTTGAGGAAAATCAGGATAATTGCATAGTCTCAAAGTAATTCCCCCAAGATAATTATTAGCTACCAAGGAAAAATAGTAACTTGGCAGTGGAGACACCACATTAACCAACTGATTGAGGTTAACGTCACCAGTAATAAGACATGGACGTCATGAACCCAGTGATATGATGCAGTTAGAAGAACACAACATCATTTCTGTGATGTTATTCTTGCCAAAAATGCATAACCTCTTTATCTTTCTGTACGTGAGAAAACATTAAACAAACCCAAATTGAGGGACATTCAGCAAAATAACTAATCAGTATTTTTCAAAAGTGTCAAGGTCACAAAGACCGGGAAAGGTCACCAAAGACAAGTAAAGACTGAGAAACTGTCATATATTGGAGACTCAGGAGAATTAATAACTAAATGCGATATGGGATTCCAGATTGGACCCTGGAACAGAAAAAAGACATTAGTGTTGGAACAGAAAAAGGACCATCAGTGGAGAAACTGGTGAAATTTAAACAGTCTGTAGTGTAGTTACTTGACTTGAACCAATGTTAATTTCTTGGTTTTTATATTGTACTTTAATTTTATGAAATGGTGACTTTAGGAGAAACTGGATAGAGGATATAAGGGAACTCTGCACTATTTTTGCAACTTTTCTGTAAGTTTAAAATTAGTTCAAAATAAAAAGTTTAGTAAAAATGTGTTGATGTAGATATTCAAGGTGATTTAGGGGAGTTGAGCTAAAACTGGGAATCAGTTATGCTCCCCACTATCAGAAATCTTAGCAAACTCTTTGATCTTTTGTGCACTGCTTTTTCCCTCTATGCGGTCAGCCTAAACCTGAGATGCAAGTCAAGGGAGTTGGGAGGTAGTAAGAAAGGTAAGAAAGAAAGGAAGATTTTCTGTGCTCAGAAAATACATATAGTATCTGAACTGCTCCCAGCACCCAGTCCCTATGTAAGAGACAGTTCCATGAGGAAGTAATGGGGGTGCTTTTTGTTCCTAGTTTGGTACTTTTTCAAACTCCTTTTGAAAAATACGAAATAAGTACAGTTAGTGAACATACTGGGAAATGAGTGGGAAATTGTAAAAATAATACTATTGACATATTATGACAATGGATATGGTGCAGAGGAGTGGGCAAGACTTAGAAACTTAATTTTAAACACAGACACAAATGTGTGGTACAAGTATAGAAGTACCGAAGCGTGGCCCGAGGTCTCACCATTGAAAGCTGCATATTGGCCTTAAAGGTTTGGCTGCTGGTGTTTTAAACTGCAACTGTAGATAGAATTTGAACCATGGACTTTTAGTCCATTAGGGCAAGGTAGATTGAAATGTACCAGTAAATTGCTAAACCAGTTGTTCCCCTCTATGGTATGCTAGCAATGCACACGAACACCTGTTTTGTTTGTCAGTTCCTGGGGTAAAAGAACATTCTG